ATGCGTTTTATAGATTTAAGCTCCTTTATCATTATAATAAGAGTTACTTACTCAAATCTGGTTTTGTATAATCTGTAAGACTGTTAACTAAGACACACTAAAATGAGAATGCGCTCAAATGAGACGCACTAAAATGAGAACGCACTCAAGTGAAGCCCCACCAAGATCGTGTCTCTTCTCTCTTATTCAATGTTACTACGAATTGTTATGTGAGTGTTTTCTTAGACATTAGAACAAAACGATATATATTATATGGGACCAATTAATAGTTATGAAGCATTTCATACATGGATAAATGAAAAATGCGTTCCGTTAGTACGAGAAATCACATTTGAAAATGCTGAAGAATTAACCGATGAAGGTCTACCATTTTTGATATTATTTCACGATCAAAATGATCATCAAATTATTGCTGATTTTGAACAAGAAGTCGCTAAACAACTAATGAATGAAAGAGGTATAAAAATTAAATAAAGTGACTGACATATAAGTATTTAGTTTCCGTTTTGTTTTAGCTACAATCAATTGCTTACATGCTGATGGACAAAAATTTGTACATCCTCTCCATCACCTGGGAAAATCAACATCTGATTTACCATTGTTAACAATCGATAGTTTTAGGCACATGTTTCTATTTCCAAATATCAAAGATTTAACGTATGTATCTTTCTTCTTACTCTAATTATATCATCTTAATCGTAATGTGTCTTTCTAGTGTGCCTGGTAAACTATTAGAATTTGTTCAAAATCTTCATAGTGGCAAATTGCATCAAGATTTTCATAATCCACCACCACCACCCACCAAGGAACCCGGTGAGACAACTACCATCAGGCCATTACTAGAAAAACATGTAAGTATCCATATAATGATGTAAGTGGAGTAAGGAATAAATCGTTTTGGTTGTATTCAAAGTTTGATAGTTGAATTTGATTCGCAATTAAGTTATGATTGATTTTTGTCTCCTAGGATGATGTAGGCAGTGGTGATACTCAGCATTTACCTAAATCACCCGATATATCGCAAACCGCATCTCCACCATCACAGCAGTTTATTCAGCAACAAAAAACAAATCCACCAGAAAGTGTTTTCATTCATTTAGGACCTAGTAGGCGACGTTACTCATTCAAAGATGAACTGTAGTTCTTTTTTTTCTAAACATAGGTTATTTTATTTATCTGTTTTAAAATTGCTAATCAAAAACTATATGCGTGCGTACTTAGTATGTAGTCGAATCAGAATTGTCTTTTTTATTTTCTCATTTTAATATGAATACCATATATAAAACAGTATGTTTTGACTGCTAGTTTTGTTTTTTATTTTGTTATTTGCTGTTGTTGATAATGTCTTCACTATTTTTATTATATGAAACACTTTTTACTTTTTTCTTGTCTGGGTTGCTTGTGTTGGCAGAGAGTTTTTGTATATTTATGTTTTTTGATAATTGAGTTGTTTGTGTCAGTTAAAAAATGGTCTTCTTAAAAACAATCTGCTAAAAGATATACAAGTCCTTTTTATTAGGCTAATAAGTTTTCAACTGACTTTATTTTGATTTTACGTTGAAGATAAAACATTTGTGTTTGTAATAGTTTTCCGTGTTATTTCAATGACTCAAATGATTTATTATTTTAGATTTTTCATTATTTCATATACGTGAAATTTTTTGTCTTTATTTTTTATTTTTCTCTCTTATTTACATTATGAAACGTCATCGACAAATTGCTTTACTTGGTTATCCAGGTGTTGGAAAGTCAACAATTGCTGGACAATTTGTTTATAAAGCATTTCTGGAAGAATACGATCCAAACATTAGAACTCGTAAGATAGTCTTTTTCTTTCTGTAGGACTAACACTTAAGATGTGTACTATTTCAGTTGACAGAGTATTTAAGATTTTTTCCTTTATGAAATTTTGATATAGTTGTTGAAAAGTGTTCCTCAAAAAGATACTAGAGTTTGCTTAGTCATACCGTTTTAATAATGTATTGGTCGATTTTAGAACTTCGTCATTCTCATTGCGTTCATGGGCAAGAATATGATTTATTAGTCATTGACAATGCCGGCACTGATCCATATACAATAAATCATGGTGAATTCGATAATAGTGATTCGTATATTATTGTTTATTCTATCGATGATAAATCAAGGTTAATATTTGTTGGAATGTAGTAATTTCCGTTGTCTAATACTTTTTTTTACTATTTTTTAGTTTTGATATGGTACCATTGATAAGAGATAAAATTATTAACAATAGTGCTAGTTCAAAGTAATAATGAAAAGAAACTAAAATATCATCTGGAGACGTTGAATATTATCTGCATTTTTTATTTAGAATACCACTTGTAATTGTTGGAAATAAAATTGATCGAACTAGTGATCGGTAAGAGAAAATAAAGTTAGCATTATAAAAGATATCTTTGTCTTAACATAATTAGTTCAATAAGCTATGTTATACCCTTTTATTTGAACTATTAATTTTTTTGCAGTGTTGTATCAACGGCACAAGGTCAAAAGTTAGCGGAGGACTTTGGTGTTGCATTTATTGAAACATCAGCAAAAGATACAGCAGTAAGTAATTGACAAAACATTTTTAAATCTTCATCTGATGAAAAATTAGTAGTGAAAAATTAAATTCTACTTGTTCTCTATATTATAGGGTGTTGAGAAGATCTTTTTAAAATGTATTCATGCAATGGATCAAGATATGAATAGTGGTAATGATCCGGTTCCTTCAACAACAACGCCTACAAAACTGACAAATTCGAAAACTTCAAAAACATCTCAATCAAAAGAGAGCGCCTGTACATTATCATAACGTCACACTTTCATTTGTATCTTGAAACACTGTCTCTGTTTTCTTGTTTATAAAAAACAAAACCCGGTGTCTATAAAAGAAAAAGAAGACCATGAAGACCTTCCGTATCATGTTTTGTATTTGTACATAGTTTGTTTGTTTTTTTGAGAGAGAGAAACACTCGTTCACTGCCTTTTGATTTTTATTTCATTTTTTTGTACATATATACACGCACACACACACATGCATTATCAATCTTCCTTTTTTTTTGCACAAAAAATCATTTATGCAACAAGAAGGGACGCACACTGAATTTTTGCTCGTTTCTCTTTTGTTTTGAGAGAACTAGCGACAAAGAAAATGATGATTTGGAGTTGTTTTTGCTTTTTATCTTTCTAATAAAAAATTGTACAGACAGATTTGTGTGCATTTTACTGCATGACGATGTGTGCTAGAAACAATTATCCTACATTTTTTTTCTACTTTAATCTGCTCTTCTGTAAGGTAGCAATTGAATAGTGTTTATGCAAGAGAATTAAAAGATGGACTGGATTAAATTTGTATAACAAAACAGAAACAGGATATTGCCAGAGTTCAATAATATCTATAGAGAAAAAGTTTCGTTCTTAATTCATCGTTATGTTTGTTCTAATCCTATCGGTTTCAAAAAGAGAAGTATTTTAATTTCGTGTACTTATGAAGCCAAGTTTGATGCATTTTTTACCATATTTTTTTTTCTTGCTCGTCTTTTTGACGTGTCTCGTACTTTTATTTATACTTGCCAATTTTATTAGATTATACATAAAACTGTTGATTTTTTCTTGTGTCGTTTTTCAGTTTTTTTTTCTTTTGTTTTGTTGTGAAATAAAAAGCTAGTTTCGTTTTGTTTTTATTATTATTATTCCGTAGAATTATCATATATATTTTTAAAAACTGCTCAGGTTTGTTGTTTTTGTTTTTGGTATTATACACTTATACTACTACTTCTTGTTGTGCACCCGTTTTGTGTATTTAATCAAGCACTATCTATATTGTTTTTCTTTCTTTTTTTTTTTTTTGTAAATAATCCGTTTTTGATTAGAAGTTTTTTTCTTTTCGACATAGTTTTTTGCGCGCAGCATAACAGTATTTTCTTTTCTTGTTACTTTGCCTTTGTTGTGTTTTTAAAGCTCATTTTTCCAGTCAGTTGGTAAACTAATGTGTTGGATAATCGTAGTGTAACTGATGGAAGAATAATGAAGGCATTAGACATTTTTTTCCTGCGTTTTAACCTGATCTTTATTGAGTTTGTTTGTTCTTCTTACTTCAAAATCGTTAAAAAGCGATGGCGTTGTGCCTTGGTTCTCGTGATGAAAAAAAAATGGAATTTTTGCTTCGTTTGTAGTTTTAGACTACTCAGGTGTTTCTCTGTTGTGTTATTCATGGATAAAAAGTTGCTCTTTAATCACATCAGTAAAATGTAAACAATTCCAATAGTCAGGAAAATAGTGGTATCTTCGCTTTTTTTATTTCATGTACGTGATTATGAGACGATATGTTAATTGAATCACATCACATCTTGTTTTGTTTTCTCTCTAGTTTGGATTGGTTTTTTTCGTAGTATGTATATGCAACAATTTGTTTTTTATTTATATTCTATAATCATTATATATCTATATAGAATAAATTACGCTAAAGAAATAGAAGTTTAATTTTAGACAAAGATAATGCTTACTCCTTTGACTCACTTCAGAATCAAAGTCATTGTTCTAATTGGTGGTACATGCACGTCTCTCAGAAGACTTTTACCGTTGCTAATAAACTCGATTCGAATAAGATTATTAAAGAATGTTCTTCTTAGAGGTTTAAAGTGTGCCGATTCTTTATAAATATATATTCTTACCTATGACTTAATTCTGCCTCTTTCACATACTTTAATTTTGTATTTGATATATTATCAAAGTTTTAGTCACTTTAGATTCTTTCCTACACATTATTACTGTTTAAACTGCTACTGTACGTCTTCAATATTTCTTCGAAACTAAGAATTGCTAACAAATATATATATATATAATCATTTTACAAAAATATTTATTTCTCATTTTAGATCTATGCTTATTTCTGCCAGATTTATTTATTTATTTCGTATTTCTATTTCTATTTTTGTGTAAATAGCAATACTTTTTATCTTTCTATGAAAACTACTTCTTTTTCGATGGCTAATTTTATTAATTGGACTGTAAGTATTGATTGTGGACAATTGGGTTTTTATCAAGGACAAATTAAATCGGTTGGTGGTGAAAAACAAACGTTAACATTAAAAAATGCTTTTAGAAATGGAATGTTATGTGATACAAATGAAATAACAATAAAGTAAATTAAATATCTTTATTTATATGATTTTAATGTTTTCTCTTTTTCTGTAGAGCTGCTGATATTGTTGACATTTGTTTAATAGCTGATCCGAATAATGCACCGGAAGTACCAAAAGTTGTTAAAGCGCAAAGAGACGAAGCACAAGCCAAACCAGCGCCTGTGGCTACAAATGGAAATAATGGTATGTAAACAAGAGATAGAGTAAGAACTTAACAAGATTATTGTTGTCAATATTTTAGGTTCAAAATCTTCTCGAATTTTATCTCAAACAACTCCACCTTCCAATACTCAAATTAAACGTCCTAGTCAACAACAACAATTACGCCGTTCTCGTTCGTCAAAATCATGGTCAGATAGTGGTGGACAAGACGAAAGACCACCAACATCATCTCATCCGACTACAAAAACAACTGTAATTCTCGAACAAACTTCCTCACCCGAAAAACAATCTACTCAAATCATTGTTAACAATAACCAAGACGATAAATATTTTGATTTTGAAACAAATTTAGCATTATTTAATAAACAAGCCATTTATGCTGAAATTGAATCAGCTAGTGGAAATGGTGAACAACATCAACAGTATCGAAATAATCATCAGCATATGTCTCATCAAACACAAAAATATCGATGTGATCAAATGATACTTGGAAATAATGATCCGCCTATTTATGAACAAATTATTTTGCCTAATGGAACAACAAAAGTATATACAACAGGTAAGTAAAGCTTGATCTATTCACAATTTCAGACTGAATACGAACATTTTTCGCATAACTTTTTGAACAAAAAAAGTTGAGACATGTAATTTCTATCAATAAATAATCAAGATCTTATCGCATATTTCTATGAAAATATAAGTTTGGAAATATTTTGTAAATGTAGATTTTTGACAGATTTTTTGAAAAACTAGTTCGTACTTTTTTTTGTTCGTTTTTCATCGATTGTTTTAACTATTCTCTTCAAAATGAGAGTCAATTAAGATCATCGTTAGCTGAGTTTCTAAGAACCTGAGAACTAGTATTCATTGACTTCATACATTAATCATACACACTAAATCTCGTGACAATGTTACTCTCCAGGAAAATTCTAACAATCGGATAAAAATAAATCTGTTATCAAAAAACAACAACAACAACAACAACAGACTCTGTCATTTTTCTGATAATTGTTTTTAGAAGATAGTTGAAAGTCGTTTTCATCAATCGAAAACCGAGCGTCTTTTCGGTAAAGAAAATTTTGTTCAAAATCTTTTCTCAATTTAGTATTGTAAGTATTCGATTTTCAGGTTGACTATCGATTGATGGAAAACACATATTCTTATTTTTCGTTAAAAGATTATTCGAAATATATTTATGTTCAGTCTTTTTGTGGACGGATCGTAGTTTTAGTAAGAACATTATAAGAGTAGTACTGAGAAAAATGCTTCTTATACTTTATTGATTAATTTATGTTTAGATGAAGGTCTTTTAATTCCATGTCTGACTTACGATTTACGTCAATTATTATTTTCTACAGCTGAACAGTTTGGTTATACACTAGAACGTCAAATTGAAGCAATGGGAAGATGTTGTGCAGATATGTGTTTACATCTACTAGGAGGATCACACAGGTATGAATTTCTAGTCACATTGATCTTCGTTCAGGTATTATATATTTGATATTCTTTTTCTTAGATTATCCTTGAAAAATAGTCATCAACGTCCAATTGTTGTTGTATTAGCCTATTTTGAAGTTCAAGGTGCTTATGCGATATGTTGTGCTCGATTATTAGCAACAAGAAATGCTCAAGTTTATTTATATATGCCTGATGGTATTAAACAAACATCATCTGCTTATAAAGAATTACAATTATTTAAAACAACTCAAGGAATTTTAACCAACAATGTTAATGGTATGATTTTAATCAAAATTTGAGCCATTATATATGTTTAAAAGGGACTTTCATTTGTCTAAATATAATTACATTGTAACTTATTTCACTCTAGATCTTCCTCATGCACCCGTTGATTTACTAGTGAATGGTCTCGATAGTGTTAATGATCAAGTTTTATTTGCAAAAATTTGGTATCGTGATCTTGTTTCTTACTCAAATCGTTTACAAGCAAATATAATAGGAATTGATCCGCCTATGGATGGAGGAGCTATTGGTTGTAAATGGTCATTGTTACCTGTACTACCGTTGCATATGTCAAAAAATGTTGGAAGATTATATCTGTGTGACTTAGGTGAGTAGGCTGAAGAAAATAAATAAAATACAGATTTTATGTACTTAATCGTATAATTTTTGTATTTTATAGGTTTTGGTCGTCAAGTATATGAACATTGTCAAATTCAATATCAATCACCGTTTACTAAATCGTTTATTCCACTTCATGATGATCAATAAATTGTGACCGGTATTCATCTTTCATTTTCTTTCGTTTTCTTTTTTTTCTGTTTTTTTTCTTCTTCCGTCCACATGTACAGACTAAAATATTTGTGTGTGTGTGTGTGTGTATGTATGTATGTATGTATGTGTGTGTCTGTGCCATTCTGTTGTTTTTCTCTTCGCCTATTAAAATGACAAACAAATACTATTTTTCGTTGGATACTACGTTTTTTTGCATGTGTTGCGCACGTTTTCTTTTTTTTTGTTTGTTGTATTCTCTGATCATCTAATTTCTTTTTGTTGTGTTGTTGGGCTATTAGCAAAAGCGAAGGAATTAATAATAAATATAGACAGTGATAAAAGCCCAATTATGAATTAAGTTAAGTAAGGTCAATGGTGCACACAATAGATGCTAAAATTAATTTTTTTAACTGAAGTGAGTAAATACTAATCAGTAGCTTTTTCAGCTCGTGCAAATTACTTTTCTAATTATCTTTTAAATATTTTGATCATATTGGTCAAGATATTGAGATATATTACTCAAGCACAAGTCGAAAATCAAAGACAATTTTTAGGTACCTACCTACAGGCTTCGTAAACGTCCTATTTTTCCTACTTTTTTAATTTTCTGTGCTTTTTAGTAAATTTACAGGCAAAAAGACATTTTTCTCCTACTTTTCACTACTTTTGCGTTTAAAAACTGCATATGACTCAATGCCAGCTACTCATGTCAAAACTTGGTATAAATTCTTTTCTCCTAACCGTATTTTCCAGCCATTTTCACAAAATTAAATCCTTTTTTTCTCCACTAATATGAGCTGATAAAGATAAAAAGCATGCTACCAGATGTAACTTTCAATGCTCTATTCAACTATATGTGAATTATTGCATTTGGTCAACGGATCAAACCCGAGGAGAAAACCAGTAGGAGACGGGTCTCAAATACAGTGCTTGTCGCAAAGTGCGTGTAAAATCATAAAAAGACATCGGACAGAGCTCACCGACGTCTCATTTTGTAGAAAAATGTTTGCTCTACATCTATAATGACTCAGAAATAGTTTGTATGTCCAGATCTTTGAGGTTTGTATCAAAATTTAGAAAAGTAAGAAAACGGTGAAACATATACCTGTCTCCAATATTTGAGTTATAGTACATCATCCTAGTGTTTTAAAATATTCTATTACATATAAACTGATACAAAATCGCCTGCTCTACAAAATGAAGTAGGATTTATTTTGGGACCGCCATACATGGCTTATATTTAAAAGGTATTGAGAAAAACGCGAATTTATAGATATGGAATATCTTAGTTTTCTATTATCTAGTCCTAGATAGTTAAACATATTATTATATCTAAATATATGATCTTATAGAGTAAAGATTTCTCTTTCAAATGAGCTATGGACGAATCATAGGAGTTTGATAGTTTTTCAGAAAATCGAAAAATACGAAAATTTGTGAAAATTCACGTTTTTTCGTCAAATGAGACATAAATAAAAATAAAATAAAATATTCCCCCGAACAGCATGGTCGGTACTGTGGCGAAGCTTCTCTTAAAAGCTAAAAGCTACTTTACCTACTTTTTGATATAAGTCCTACCATAACGGACTTCAAAATCCTACTCCTACTCCTACTTTTTGATTTTTGCTATTACAAAGTCTGTATCTACCGACAGTTGAATAAGACTAAAAATTCAAAACAACAAATTCAATGATTAATTCTTCGTCTCTCATAAAACATCTGAAACACGATATACAACTTCAGACGCATAGATTGTAGAGGACTCATCCTATTACCCATATGACAGTGAATAATTTCAAAAATATAAAAAACTTTTTTGTTGAAGTATCCTCCTTTTCATCGACTTACAACTACACCTATGTGTAAATTTCTCATACAAGTTTTACTCGCTTAGCATTTTCATTCCAATAAAATGTTGATCTATTTTATCAATGAGTTTTAAAATGAAATTTACAGAAGAAAAGTATGATTTTATGCTACGTTCTTTTAGGATAAATAATTGATTATTTTCAATATATCATTTTCCGTTTTATACCCATGTGAGCAATCACATTTAAAAAGAGCAATATGTTGTTGACGACAGTATGTTAATTTTATATCATACAAGATCTTTCAAAAACAAAAATTCATAAAATTAGTAAATTCGATTGAAAAATTTTTGTGTTAGAGATAAAATGAAGTTGAGATGTATCCCAGTTCTTCACCGAAACTGAATTCAGTTCATAAAATATTTCAGTTCGTTAAAATGAGCAAAATATGCATCAAAAATTACCTTGAAAGGATTTTGTTAACACTTGACTTTTTTAACAAAAAATCTTCCTGTAATCGACGTTTTTCTGCACGATATAAGAAATTAAGAGCTGATAATTACACCAGAAGTTCTACTAGTTAGTAATATCAAAATGTGAAACTTGTTTTCTATCTTCTACTTTCCTATTACCTTGTGTATGATTTTATTTTTCAAAATACGATCTATAAGTTACTCAGAAGAAAGATTCTTATTCTAGGTATCAATTAATAGATCTTTTAGTACTATTGTAATTATATTTTGATAATTCTAAAAAAAGACCTTAATTTGATTATTATACGCATCGAATGATCATACTAAGTTAAAAATATTAATAATTAAAATATTATACTAAGTATAAAAATGAAAGACAGAATATGCATTATGAAATTAAAGTATAACTCCGAGATAAAAAAAACAAATCTTGATTTAAATGCTTAGTAAAGTTATCAATATTTCCACGTCACCAAAAAACGAAAAGATGTAGACAGAATATGCAGTGTTTTCATAAAAGATTTGCATCATTAACCGAAATGCGTCACACATTTTTTTAGTGTATAAACTATAATAATTTTATCTATTAGTCTGAAATGATATTGTCAAAAAAAATATAATTTTTCTCATTTTCTTTTCTCAAACCCTTCTATTTTACCACCTCCTTGTTTCTCTTTCTTATACAGCTGGTGCATCTTTTTCAGCATCTCTGGTACTATCGTTGAGTATAGAGGTTAGATTCTACTTTTTTTTGTTGTCGTACTCTTTTCATAAAAAAGAACATCGTACACATTGACATAATTTTGTTTTGATTATGAAAAATATGAAAATAATTTTTAACAATAAGTAATCAAAACATTCATTTAATTAACTAATCAATTATGCTCAAAGTAATTGTACATAATGCGGAACGTATACCAAATTTGGACCGTTTTACGGACGTCGACCCAATGGTTACACTTATTTTTCAAGGTGATTTTTTTTTTCTTTTTTTCGATTTATTTATACCGTATTTAACTAAAATTGACTATACTAGCTATAAAGTAGTGTATAGTAAATTTTTGAATAGTTTATGTATGTAAATTTTAGAAAGTTAGATATATCTGACTATTAGCAAGACAATGAAATAAATATTATGGATAAAATAAAAATAAATTTAACGAAAAATCAAATAAGTTTTTCGATAAATGTATTTACTTTGTATCTCCATATCTTTTATAGTTCGCTCATCGATTTATCTCGCATTTCCCGTCTATATTCAGTTCTTCCATTTGACTTCTTGCAGAATTCATCTTTTACTTTCGAATACCGAATGTATAACAAGAAAACATCCAATTGGCACTGAACTGTGATGAGAAAACTAAAACTTAAATTTATAGTCCAAACTACTTCGTGTATACACCTATCAACTACTGAAAGCTATTGGTTTCTCTAGAGAAATCAAGACTTATTTCACATTATAATAGAGTTCAAGTTCAGCTCGATCAAATGCGGTACCTTCTATTCTGACTCAATTATTTAACGATTCAGTGTCGGAGCGACCGTTTGTGTGAGGGATGCGTACCTCCCCTGCTTTCAGAAATTTCGTTGGAAATCTGCTCCGATTTGAGCCAAAAGCACGGGAAACTGGCACCAGTTTTGTGAAAGAATGGAGTGAGTTTACTCCGATTTTAGCAAACTTTTGTTTGCAACTTTTACGGTTTTTGTGCAGATATTTGTTGTTTTCTTCAATTTCTTGTCATCTTTGCTACAAAAATGTGACAAAATCAGGAAAAGCTACAGTAAGGTGGAACACCTCCTTCTCAAAGATGAGCAGGTCCGAGTCCCTGCTTGAAGTGTTAGTTGATAGACTTGAACTTGAGTGTTTTTTATCAAGTCCAGTTGGAGTCCAGTTAGAATCTATCATAATCAGGAATGAAGTCAGTGTAATCTTAAACGTAATTGAATCTCTTTTTTCGATAAATATATATCTAATGTGGAATAGTGACTAAACTTTATGTAGTCGTCGTATATGATGAGATTTGTCCACGTGATTTATTGAGAAGACACAAAAATAATTAGTGTAGTGAGTCTGTTTTCTACTATAAACTTGACTGTACTAATTCGACAGAACAGGCTAATAAATAACAATGGATATTGTCTTTTTTCCTTTTTGAACAGGTCTCACACTATATGAAGGAACAATAAAAAACTGCTGTCTCCTTCGTGTGTTGACAAAGTGTGGAGATACTGATTATACAACAGTAAGTTCGAAAAGAAAAAAATGGCGAATTTTTTATTATTTCTTTTACTTTATCAAACTTGTCAGAAAATCTTTTTGAACTTACTCTAGTTTTTATAGACTTTTCAATCGTCTACTACATTTATTTTGTGTTCAGTTCAAAATTTTCGAAAGTTCATTCAATAAAAATAACTTTGCGTAGGATTCTTTATTGTTTCTCGCCATTATTGGTTAGTAATCAGAACTGTAGAATGATTTGACTATTATTTTAAACTCTTTACGTTTGATTCATTTTTAATTTTATCACGCGAAAAACAACAGGAACATAGAGTCACATCCTCTAATTTTGCCCTATTCGTTTTATTTTATTTTTTATTTTTGTGTAAATACATAAATAAAAGGACAATTGCCACTTCCAAACACATGTGTTAATCATACATATTTCCATATATTTGATAGTAATAACCTATAAAAAATATGATGAAATAAAACAATGAATTTTACAGCAACGAAAAATTGGACGAAAGAGCATGTCTTCTTCTACTACTAATGCTAGTATTAGTGGGGAAAAGGATATTAGTGGCCGTCTAAAAATCATTGTACACGATGCAAAAAATGTGCCGCTTGATCGATTCCATTTTCCAGATCCATATATTAATATTTTTTTAAACGGTAGGAATTAAAAACTATAAATCGATAAATATCAAATTGTTACTATTTGAATAATCTCGAGTAATCACGGTTAAATTATTATTTCGTTTTTTATAACTGAGATGATAAATTGTACAAATCGCATATATTATGTATAAATCATTTTTCTAAATTTGTAGGAATTAAAAAACAAACGACTTGGCAACGATCAACATGCGATCCAAAATGGGAAGAGGTATGTATATATCCATTTTAGCACATTTATTTTTCACATATTAATATTTCTCATAATAGACACTCGAATTTCAATTAAATGGTGTACCAATTCAGGGTTCGGATGTTTTGGAAGTACAATTGAAAGATCATGAAACAATCGGTGCAAATAAGTAGGAAAATCATGTATAATAAGAATAAGAATATATTATATAATTTCTTATTTAATAGACTAATTGGTCAATCAACTATTCCGCTAGTTGAAGTTGTTCGAAATGGTTCAATTAAAAAACGTGTTGTACTATTAAATAATCCACAAGGTGTTCTACTTGAAGCTGTGAGTAATTTTTTTAATAAACAAAATATTTTTGATTATACATGTGCACTTTTTATTTTAAGACAAAACTATATATAACACTCGATTATATACCACCGACTGCTGCATCACAACAAATGAAAGGTGGTAAGAAATATTTGAAATTAATCATAATTAAAGTTGAAATTTGTTTTGTCTAATACAGGTGATGTGAATAATAATGAAATTAATGTCAATGATCATAGTGGTGGAAAATCATCGAATACCGATAACTCATGGCAAAATGAATTAGATGATAAATCGGGATATAAACGTCAATCAAAAGTTCGATCAACTAAAAGTCAAGATTTTCAGGTAATATTTTGAATTATAATTTATTATATTATTTAATTTAAATAATAAATTTTAATATAATTTTTTAGATTCGTATTAAAATATTTCAAGCACGTCAATTAGATGGTAGTAATTTACATCCTGTATGTCGTGTACGAGTAGTTAATAATGTTAAACAAACAAAAATTCGTAAAGGAACAAATCAACCGTATTTTGATGAAGTCTTCTTTTTCAATTTTAATATGTCTGAAGCAGAAATGTGTGATGAAATTATTGAATTTGAAGTAAAAAAGAAGACAAATGTTATCTCATCAAAAGTCTTGTACTATATTTTTATTTAGGTGTGTAATTCACGTACATTACGAGCGGATATGAAAATTGGATCATTTAAGGTAAAAAACAAACAAAAAACAAAATTAAAAAATTTTAAAAGCAAAAGTTTAACGATATTTTGTTTTTCTGTTATAGATGGATCTTGGTTATGTGTATAATGAGCCGAAACATTCAATTAATCGTAAATGGTTGTTATTGAGTGATGAGGATGATCGAATGGCTGGTGCCAAAGGATATTTGAAAGTGTCAGTGAATATACTGGGACCGGGTGATGAAGCACCAGTAAGTTGAAAAAAAACTAAAAGTCATCATTGTTCGACAAATTTTTATAGATAAATTTTTATTTTATTTTTTAGTCTCAAGAGACTGGAGATGATAACGATGATATTGAATGGTAATTATTATCTCTAATAGATCATTTCATTTGACAAATTTTCTTTTTTCTCTTAGTAATCTGTTAAAACCAGCCGGTCTCATGCTACGTCCAGCAACATTTACATTGAAATTGTACAAAGCCGATGATTTACCAAGAAGTATATAATTTATTAGTAATTAATTTAAATGTTAACTATACATACTCGTTATTATAGTGGATAGTGCATTTATGCATGGTGTTAAGAAAATATTTCATGGTCAAGAAGATGTTAAAGAATTAATTGATCCATATGTGACGTTTGGATTCGCTGGTCAACAAGTATAGAATTCTCTATATTTAAATTTTTTTTAGAAATAATGCTAAGTTTACTATTCTAGGTATCATCAAAAATTGTGTATACATGTTCACATCCAGAATTTAATCAAGAACTTCGACTTGGACTAAAGGTAGATAGATATATTTTGTCTATTCACTATAAAATCAGTAGTTAAACATATTCTTTTTTTGTTTTTACATGTTTTCAGTTTCCATCGATGTGTGATAAAATAACTTTAACAGTTATGGATTGGTAAGTAGACCATTTTACCTTTTTGTTATTGATGTAAGTGCGTGAAAAATATAAAATTTTTCAACGAATAATAAATAAATTATTCTGACTCTCTCTCATCATCTAGGGATCGTTTACAATTTGATGATATAACTGGTTCAACTGTTCTAAATATAAAACGTTTATGCGATGATAGAGATAATGGTAAAAAAAAATATATACACCCCTAATATGGTTGTTTGGTATCTAGAATACACGGCTTTCATATATAGTCATAAATTTTTTTCTTAATAAAAGAAAGGGAATTACTTATTTTTTTACTTATTTTTTTTTACTTATTTTTTTTTCTCGATTGAAATGATCTTCGGATAAAAGAACTTTAATGATTTAGACTTTAGACAATCTATGCGTTTAAACTCTCACACAATAGCTAAAAATTAATATCTTCGAATTCTTTTACTTCAAGCTTAGTGTGGATTTTTTCAATTCGCTTCTGAAAAATGGTAGAAATTGTTCTATCAGTAAGTGCCCCTCTATCACATATTAACAGTGTTGCGATTATTTTCTAAAATCGTCCAATAACACGCAATTTTCTTGATAATTTGACTACTAGTCGTTTTGGATGACATCCACAAGGCGTTGAAAGCTAAATGATTTTCGATGATTTTTTTTCCTAGACAATTCTATGACAATAAAGTCTTTCATTAGATACTGTAAAATAATTCTTGATCTCCGAATACATTTGCTGTTAGAGTTTCATGATCAGTTAGTAGAATTCTTATTAGTTTTTCTGTACGAGAAGCACGAGTAATTTAACTCATTACTGATACAGAAGAAAGAAACATGTTAATCCAATAAAGAACAGTGGTAATATCGTGAAACTTTCACCTCATCCAAGCTTCAACTCTCTGCTTGTTACACAATACTTGACTTTTAGGACGTCTCTTGAAAACTAAGTCAGGAATCACATGAGGGAACAAATATTTCCAATCTCAAAGTATAGGACACATCGAAAGACACATTTTCTGAAAGTTTCAATCCAATTAGTTGCTTTCTGCAATAAATTTAGATCGTTGCATAAAAATCTCTATTTCATTTTTAAAGGATACTGCCTAAAAATCTTTTCTTTGGATTTAAAAAGTGATCTAAATCAGAGTTGTAACTGGGTCAGCTCGGTGTAAAAGCTTAGACAGGACGGTCTAGAAAGATTTTCAAATCGACCGGTGATTGATCGGTTTTGAAATTCTTAGCATTTTTCTCTTCTTCATTAAAAACAAATGAGTTTTCTACCCTCTTGTCCGCCTAGAAAATATTTGAAAACCGGCAGGTCTTTTGCCGGTTTTTCACCAATCTAAACCGATTTCTGGACTGATCGGTCCGGTCCGACCTCTTATTTTTAGACCGGTTACAACTCTGATCTAAATATGTTATTTTATCGGAAGTAGAAAGGTAAAAAATATCGGTTCTCTATTTGATTAGAGATTCTTTGTTGAAAACGTTTGTACTGATTGTTCACTTGATCATATTAAACGATTTTCGATAACTAAACATGTTTTATGTTTTGAACAGTTGTATAATGTTTCATTCGATGCAGTTCGATTTAGCAATTATGAATTTAAAATTTCATTTGTTTAAAAGAGAAAATGATATTTTTAGAGTTAGGGTCGAAAATTTTTCAATCATACTATGGGAGTTTAAATGTTCAGTAATAACTGAATATTAATCATGATCGGTGGAGCGTTTTTTTGTTTTTTGTTTTTTATTTTTTTTAATTGCACTCTCTGTTCATCTCTGACAAAACTAATTTAATGTGAATTAGGAATATATTAACCATGTCTGAGTAGAAAACTTGATGCATAGACAATGATTTAGACTAATTATTTCATATTACGTAGATATATGGATTAATCATACCTTGTTTCTCATCATAAATAGGGACAAAATCACATCTGATGATGTTGCTTCAACTACATTTCTTCATATTAATCAGATTAGTCAATTGAGTAAACTTGGTATATTAAAATCTGCTAATATAGTAGTTGCTAATATGTAATTGTAGATTCCCCATCCCATCTATCCGATAGAGAATAAATAATTGTAGTCATTATATGAAATGATCAGTAGTTGTGCTTTTAATAGTTCTGATTATTATATAAAACAAAAACGATTAACTAATTTTAAATTTTCTCATACAAGAGACATTCTTTGCCTATTTTCTGAATTATAATCATTACTATTATATGTTTGGTGATGTATTTTGACTATTTCTCTTATAATGGGTGGTTTATGCTATTTTTTTAAATAAATATATGATTTATTAAATATTATTTTGAATGTTTATATGCATATGTAGGGATCGACTTACACGAAACGATATTATTGGTGTAAGAATTATCTGTTTATCTGATATATCAGCTGTTGTACATGGTGGTAAAAGAAAGAGAGTAGTTCTTCTTAGCTTTAATATCTATTTCTTGCATTTTGCTTTGCTTCTTTTTTTTTTTACTCTAGTATTTATCTACAATTAAATTAATTTTTTTATCTAGGATTTTTACCAACATTTGGTCCATGTTGGATCAATTTATATGGAGCACCACGTGAATATTCTGAAATGCCAACAATATTAGATGAATTAAATACTGGAAAAGTTTGTAATACGATTATTAGATAAAACATGATTATTATCTAAGTTTTATTAAAGGGTGAAGGTGTTGCTTATCGTGGTCGTATATTCATTGAATTACAAACTGTTCTGGGTGAAACTCCATCGGAATCCGTATGCGATATATCAAATTCAGATCAAATTCGTTCATTGCCATTTCAATCAAGAAAAAAATATAAATTACATGCAGCATTTTTGGATGCCACTATGCTATATGAACATGAATCGATGATTGAGTTTGAAATTAGTATTGGTAAGTTAACATAAAATTAATATATAAAATAATATTAATAAATATCCATTTTAAAGGTAATTATGGTAATAAATTAGATGATATGGTTGGTAGTGCGAGTTGTTCAACAACACCGCCAACAAATCCTGTGTTTGATGGTTGTGCCTATTATTTTTTACCGTGGGGAAATACAAAACCATGTGTACAAGTAGCATCCGAATGGGAAGATGTCACATTTCGATTAGAAGCAATGAATCAATTGTCAAAAATTAAATTATTTGTCGTATGTAAAAGATACTTAAAATTTATTTTCTAATTGAATACAATTATTTATTCGAATTTTTATCAAATATTAATTATTTTTCTTAGACTGGTCTTCTTTCAACCTTAGAAGTACTTAAATTAAAACAATCATCAGAAGATGTTATTGTCAAACATTATAAACAATCATTGGATATGGTTATCGCTCATCTCAAGTAAAAACTTTTAATCATTTCTCTAAATAAATTAAATTTTTTTTTGTTTTTTTCTATTTTCTAATTAGAAAACCATTACCAGAACCAGAAATAAATCGTCATCATCCAAATGAATTAGATCGTTTACGTCGTCATATGCGTCTAAAAGATTTAAATGAAATGATACAACGTTTAGAACGTCTAAAATTAAGTGCCAAAACATCACAAGAAATAACAGATGCTCTGGATGATATTAGAAATAATATGGAATATTTAGAAGCAGAAGTAGAACAAAAAAAGTCTATTTATATCGAATGATATTGATGTTTTATTTGTTTTTTGTTTAGCCTCAAAATAGTATACCGGATGTGATTATTTGGATGTTGTGTAATGGAAAACGTTATGCTTATTATCGAATACCAGCGAATGAAGTTTTCTATTCACCACATATTGATCGTCGTGGTCGTCTATGTGGTAAAGTACAAACAATAACATTGAAATGGCCTGGAAAAGAAGGAGAAGATAAAGATAAGAAAAATTTTCTACCAGCTGAAATGCGAGTAAAAGTATGGTTAGGTCTTCATGTCAATGAACAAGATTGGTTGTCACAACAGAAAGGAGCAGATTTAGCAGTTTATGCTGAAACATATGAAAATCAAACAAATGTATTGGGACAATGGACAACTGGCGGACCACTAATGAGTCGACCACAATGGTCTGATGTTGTTGGAAATGTATAATTATTAATTTCTTATAAATACATTTTGATTCTATTCTCTTATATATTTAGGTTAGTTTACCTAAAAAAAGCTTTCAGTTACCATCTGGTTGGAGATGGGAAGGAGAATGGGGTATAAGTCCAGAAATAAGGTAAATACTTTGATCAAACATTTTTATTTGTTATTAAAATTTAAGAGTACCTCGCCCCTTTTTTTGAGCTTTCCGTAGAAATGCTGTGAAATAAAAACTAAAAGTCACTAAAGCTTCATATTTTCAGAACTGATTGAAAACTCAATAGAGCACTTTTTCGTTTTTGTTTCTAGTTTTTAACTATTGTCGTTCACCAGCTTTCCAGAAAACTCGGTTTTTCATTGTGTCACATTATGACCCCCTTCAATTTCATTTGATCGAGTTCAAAATTTTACCAGAGGTACTCATAGTCATATTGCAGAGGTATTTTTTGTGAAACTTTTTAAGACCTTTCCGGGTCCAGCTATAGGAAAAATACTAAAAGACGTCTCAAAAACCAAGTTTTTCAATTTTAGAAACCCAATAACTTCGTAAAAAAAGCCTAAAATAAAAATTCAAAAAACTACCTCTGCAATAGTGTCTTGAGTAACTCTGGTAAAATTTTTAACTCAATCGGATGAAATTTAAGGGAAGCGTAATGTGGCACAATGAAGCCTGATAGCAAAAAAATAGTTTTCGAGAAAAAAACGCATTTTTTACATAGGCCACTTTTTTCAGGGCATTTGCCGCGATACTTATATCTCCACGAAAACTCATTGGAAAATTCTGAAAAACGTTTCATTGTGAAAAAAACACTTTCTTCTATCAGAGTCTACATAAGAAAAGTCTTGAATGTACAAAAAAGGAGAGAAAAGTTTATGAACTAAAAAATTGAGTTTTTTACTCTTAAGCACTAATCAAAATTTTAATTTTCTTAATTTAAAAAAGTGCTCGTTATTCCGATGATGCTGGTCATCGTACTTTTACTGAAGAAGTTTATGAACATCAATCTCGTGTATTAGCTGGTGCACAATGGCAAGCAAAAACAGTCGGATGGACAGATTTAGTAAGTTTTGAGACAAATAAAATATTTTAGTTATGTTTTATAAGTTTTAATTATAGTCTGGTGATAAAGTACCAAGTAAAAATGAGCGAACAACGGCGCCTGATGGTTGGGTATGGGAAGATGAATGGACAATTGATATTAATCGAGCTGTTGATGAAGAAGGTATTTATTAAATTATTTTACAATTTTATTGGTTAAACATTAAAAAAATAACATTTTTGATATTTTAAACAGGTTTTGAATATTGTGTTAATCAAACATTGGGTGGATGGTGTCCAGTAGAAAAAGTATTTCATTTAAATCGACGACGACGATGGTTTCGAACACGTTTATTGAAAGTGGAAAATATTGAAGAAAAAAAAGTAGGTGAAAAATAAATTTATTTAATTTTAAAATGATTAGAAATTATAGATTAATTATAGTTTTATCGAGTAGAAAAGATAAATAATTCGAACTATATTATATTTAGAAATTAAAATTTTATATTTAGGATTTTATAGCTTCTACTTTTGAAACAATACCTTTGATATCTCCGAGCGAAAAAGAAGTAGGTTTTTCTATTAGCATATAGAATGTAGATTAGTTAAAAGAAATTTTTATTAATTATTTTCTATTACTCATTAAATATATAAGTTTTCCCTTGATCTTCACGATAAAAGCAAATCCTTCATCACTTTAATTTTGAAAAACTAATTCACTACTAAGACAGGGAAATTAAACATTTTTTTTTTTTTAACGAAGCGAAAAATCTCGTTAGAAAGAAAATATAAAATTTTTATATTACATTTTTTTAACATGTAGAAATTTAATTATATTAGATCATGCTTGTCTTTAATTGATTGCTTTGCTAATGTAGTTTTAGACAAATATTTTTAATAATTATTAATTTGTTGATTTTATAAATTTTATCTTTTTTTTTTGTTTTTTTTAGAAAAAAGAATTTCAAGATGCATTAAAAACAGGATGGGAATATGCTCCCATGTTTAATATGAAATTTCATGCAGATGAACGTAGTATGGATATGGTTAGACGACGACGTTGGCATCGAAAAATGGTACCAGATAGTATGATAAATACAGATGTTGTATTTCGAATGCAATCTCAAGTAACAGAACACAAGGTATATTTAGTTAAAAAATAGAGAAACAAAAGACAAACAAGTATATATTTTTTTCTCTTTTTTTTTTTTTGTTTTTCCTAGGATGCTTCACCACCTCAACCATCCGCTCCAGCAAGTACAACACAACAACAAGATGTTGTAGCAGTGCCAAAAGAAATGAAAATTGAATTAAATGCACCAAGAATGTTTTTAAGTTTTAAAAGTAAATATAAATAAATTGCCTTTTCTTAGAAATAATGTTAATTATTCATATTTTCTTTTCTAGAACCGTATTTGTATGAATTAAGAACTTATATATATCAGGCACGTGGACTCATAGCAATGGATACAGATAGTTTTTCAGGTAAATTTCATTATTTATGTATATTAAAATTTGACAATAGATTTAATAATCAATTGTATGTTTTTAGATCCATTTGCTCAAGTTGGATTTGTAAATCAAAGTCAAAAAACGGAAATAATTAATAAAACTTTGTGTCCAACATGGGATCAAACATTAATATTTCCAAATGTAGAATTACATGGAGAACCTGATGAAATACATCATGATCCACCAAATATTATCATTGAAATATTCGATAAGGATCAATATGTGAGTAAATCATGATGAAAAATAGTTGAAATATTTTTAAACTCTTAGAAAATCACTTCTCACAAACAAGAACATAAAGCAAAAACTTCTAAATACTAAGAAATCATAGATTCACTCTACAAACAATTTTATGTCATAGAGGACAACATTACATACTCACTTTTAAATAGCATCCACCGTACAAAAAATTCATACTCTTTGCCAAATTTGTTACTGATAACGGTAAACGGCCAAGTCGTTCTGTTCCAGTAAGACTCTTTTAAGTTTTTAATTGGTCATTTCTTTTTTGTACAAATTTAGTCTTTTCATATCGAAAAAAGTCGGTAGACAATGTTTTGTATAAATATTTTTTCTTTGTTCACTTATTTCTATTTTGTACTCAAAAAAACAAACTGTAATAAAATACAAAATTTCCGTTTTCGGCTTAAAAGTTAGAACGAACATTTCGTTTTGATAGAATGTTTTTACAGCTAAAAGGCTTTTATAACAGTCACATTTTCGCTTTTATAGGGTTCACCGGATTTTCTTGGTCGTGTTCAATCTTCGCCCATTGTACGTTTGACACCTGATGAAGTAAAACCAGTGACTAAATTAAAATGGTATCCAATCAGACGTGGAAAAGATGATGCCGGAGAATTATTGGCAGCATTCGAACTATTTTTAGTAAGAAAATCTTCAAAATTTTATAAAGTTTTTTCATTTTATGATATATATTTAGATTCCAGACTCAAATGAGAAAAAAATTCCTCCACATCCGCCTAAACGAGGTTCATTATTCATTGTTCCACAAACTATACGTCCGCAACTTGTTCGAACAGGCATCGAGGTATGTTTTCTTCGACTATCAATAGTCTATTATAGATTTATTCAATCATTTTACAGATTTTATGTTGGGGTATTCGAAATATGAAAACGTTTATGCTATCGGATGTTGATTGTCCACAGGTTGTATTTGAAGTTGGTGGAAGAGAAGTTGAATCGACAGTAATTAAAAGTGCTAAAAAGACACCTAATTTTGATAAACCATTATTATTTATTGATGTGGTAAGTCTATTTCGTTTTTGTTTTTTTTTTGTTAATGAAAAATATTATTATTCTTGACATTTTAGATGTTACCTAAAGAAGATTTATATGCACCACCAATGAATATAAAAGTAAAAGATCATCGTTCTTTTGGCCGAAAACCAGTTGTCGGTCTCAATATTATTAAATCGTTGACATCTTTTCGATGTGATCCATCGACACCATCTTTAACCATCATGCAAGCAGCTGGTAAGAGATATATAACTAATCATTGTATATCAAATAATGTCATAATTTTATATCTTTAGAACATGCAGCAACCGGCATAATACCAGCAACTGGCGATGTTAGTCTCCATCTTGATAAAAAATCTAAAAAAAAAGTGGTAGGTTTTATCTATTGACTTATAATAAATAATAATCTTTTAAAAAATGACTTACTCTCTTGCTTATTATATTTACCACTAAAAAATAACTAATTATTCCAGCGTGCCATTTCACCAAACAAAAGTGGTGATACATCTGTGTCTATACCAGAAAAAACAGCACTTACTACTGATGAAACATCAACAACAGACAAGACATCGTCAAAAAAATCTGTGCGCAAAAAAGTGAAAAATTTTTTAAAAAAACAGAAAACATTTAGTGATACACCGATGAAACCAGAATCAAGATTAGCAAAAATTCAACGATCAATTGCCGGACACCATTATCAGCGTGTACCAGTAGTAGAAATGGTCCGTACTATAAAGACACGTATTTGCTTTGGGAAAATTTTTGGAAAATATATATATTCATTTCAACACTTTATTATTTTGGATAAGAAAAAAAAACGAGCATCATTTTTTTTCTTTTAATTTAAATTTAGTGTTTAATATGCAAGATGTTAAAGTCTGATAAAGACTTTTTAATCATTTTTTTTTTTTATTATAGACAGCTGTAGAAGAAGATATTGATTGGTGGTCAAAATATTATGCATCGAAAGGTGATTATGAAAAATGTGGAACATATAGAGCAAAAGGCTATGAAACATTGACAGTATGTAATAGACTCATATTATGACTATTTTTTGTATTGTAAATTTTATTTTATAGGTGTATCCATTTCCATTAGAGTCACATGATTTATATCAAGGTTTTAGTGATTTTTGTATGACATTTCAATTATCTAGAGGAAAAACACAATTTGAAGAAGAAAATGAAATTGTTGGAGAATTTAAGGTTTTCTCTCTGTTTAACATCACCGAACAGAGATGAAATAATACATTTTTAACTTTTAATTTAGGGTTTATTTAAAGTCTATCCATTACCAGAAGATCCAAATATACCGCTACCCGCACGTGTGATGGAAAATTTACCAAGTAGTGGATTAGAAGAATGTATTGTACGAATTTACATAATACGAGCATTCGATTTACAACCGAAAGATACAAATGGAAAAGTGAGAGGGATAGAAACATAAAATACTTGAAAAAGATTTAAAATTATATTATTTTATTTTTACAGTCTGATCCCTATATTGAAATTGAACTTGGACGAACTAAACTTGATAATCGTGATGAACGAATACCGAATACCACAAATCCTATGTTTGGAAAGTAAGAAGATATTTTTTGTTTAATTGTTAGATAATATTAACTAAATTTATTATTTATATATTCATTAGAATGTTTGAAGTTAAAGCAACAATTCCTACAACAAAAGATTTAGTAATTCGAGTTAAAGATTGGGATTTATTGACATCAGATGAATTGATTGGACAAACAACAATTGATTTAGAAAATCGATTATTGAGCAAATATCGAGCCACATGTGGATTACCATTGCAATATAATGTGTAAATAGTTTTTATTGTTAAATTGAATGAGTTGATATAATTATCACTTAATCATTTATTTTTATATAGTACTGGCCCAAATCAATGGCGTGATACTGATCGTCCACGTAAAATCTTATATGATGTTTGTAAACGAAACAATTTGCCTGTACCAGAACTAACCGAAGATCATTCAATTAGAATTGGAGAATTCTTATTTCGACTTGAAGATTTTGGTAAAAATTGTTTTATCAAATTGAATTCAATTTGAATATACGTATTGTTCTTTTACACTCTCTCTCTCTCTAGAACAAGAAAGGAATTTGACTGTACATGTCGGCGATCAAGATGAACGTCTTGCTTTGTATATTTTACATAAACTTCGTTTATGTCCGGAACATGTTGAAACGAGACCGTTGTTCAATCCCTTACAGCCACAAATTGAACAAGTAAAGATAATAAAAACAAACTTTAATTTTTTATATTATTAAATTATTAATATTATATTAATAATATATTTCAAATAGGGACGACTTGAATTATGGGTGGATATTTTTCCAAAATCACACGGTAAAACAATAGGAGAAAATCAATAAAAAATAGTTTTTAAACTTTTATTCTTTTCTAAGGTACACCTGGTCCTGCTTTTACTGTTCAACCACGAAAACCAAAACCGTACGTAGAATATTTATTTTTTCTACAGTATCATTTAAATTATTTTAATTTGTTTAGTTATGTTTTACGTTGTATAATTTGGAATACAAGTGATGTATTGTTACAAGAGACGTCTATCACCGGTGAAAAAATGTCGGATATTTATGTCAAAGGATGGCTCAGTGGATTAGAGGAAGACACACAAAAAACCGATATTCATTATAGGTTAGTTGTCCCTATTTGAATCGTTAGTGAATAGATTTATAAGAAAAACTCTAATAAAATCGACGTTTTTTTTTTTTTTGTATTTAGATCTATGGATGGTGAAGGCAACTTTAATTGGCGTTTTGTTTATGATTTTGCATATATGCCAGCTGAGAGATGTATTACTGTAAAGAAAAAAGTATGTATTTATTATATACAGTTTGAAAGTAAAGTTTGAATATTATGGTCATCGTTTAGGAGCATTTTTGGAGTATTGATGCCACTGAGACAACTATTCCACCTGTGTTAAATTTACAAGTTTGGGACAATGATAAATTTAGTGCTGATGACTTTTTAGGTAATAAATAACTTACAATTACTGGACTTATCGTTATATAATGATTCACTTTCAATTCATTGATCGTATTGTTACGGGCACTCTATGAGCTGAGATTCTTACCTACATCAGCATATTTTGAAAAATACTTTTAATCTAGTATTTTAGTTTCTTTAAAAACATCTTTCAGCTCATTATTAAAACATTTGTAATTAAAATTATTTTATTATCTCTATGCATCCATCTTTTGTTAATAAGGTGTTGTTTTTTTACTATAAAACATTTAGTATTATCAGAATCTAATTCGATAAAAGTTATTAGACTAATTAATGGTTCAAAATGTCACATCATAGTCTTCGTCTTAGAATCATAGTACAGAATAATTCATTTTTTAGGTGCTCTTACCCTTGATTTAAATCGTCTGTTTAAACCTGCAAAAGATTCTGATTTTTGTACATTGGATATTATCGATAATGATCCGTCGAATCTTGTTTCACTATTTGAAATGAGAAGATTGAAAGGATGGTGGCCATGTGTTAACGTCGAAGGTGGAGATCCAGAGATAACCGTAAGTACTACGATTAAATAATAAAGGTATGTTATGCAAACAATGGGAAAAAAATTATGATAAATGGAAGAATGTAGTAGAAAGAAATTTTAAAAAAGTTATACCAGTTTCTATCGTATAGATTTTTTATCTATTCTCAAAATATTAATCATCTATTTTTGTCTATTTTGTAAAAAAATACTTGAAAGTTCTTTTATTTGTAGTACTACAGCATCTGATTATATCATTCAATTGACGTATTTTTAATATTTTTATTCAGGGTAAACTAGAACTAGAAATTGAAATATTGACAGAGGAAGAAGCACGAGAACGTCCAGCTGGTAAAGGACGTGAAGAACCAAATGAAAATCCCAAATTAGAACCACCACAGTACGTATTACATAAAGATTTATTTTAATTTATAATCTATAATAATACTAATGATATTTTTTAGACGTCCTGAAACTTCATTTTTCTGGTTCTCATCTCCATTTAAAACATTTAAAAATATTATTTGGCGAAAATCGAAATGGTATATTATTAGTGGTATATTTATTGCATTTGTTGTCATATTCGTACTATTAATGTTCTATACAATGCCGGTATGTATCATAAATATAGATAGATAGTTTTAAAACTTTAATTTACTATGACATTTTTCTTTTAGGGAGCATTATGGGCATCAGTGTTGAAAGTACGATAATTTTATGAAAATAAGAATTTAAAATTAAATAACAAGGCGTTCTTTTCTCGTACAATACAAACAACGATAATTGCATATTTTCATATAGTTGATTTTAAAATCTATTTCATCTATTTTCTATACATGACACCTGAGAAAAAAATCTTATTTATTGTAATATAATTTGTACAAGATTGGACATGATTGATGGTAAAATAAATTATTTAAGAATATAGTGTGTATTTTTTTAATGAAACTCTCTTATTTTTCTCTATAAAGTGGAATATATGAACTAGAAAAAGAATATCATGAACAACCAAGAATTGAATCTTATTTTGTTAAAGATTAATGAAAACTCAATATAAAACGGGGCATTTACATCGTCTAATATCCAGTGATCCAGTATAAATAAATGGCTCTTCTCATATTTTGCTTATAATTTTTTTTCTTTTCAATCCTTAAATCTGATTCTTTTTCCAAAAGATGCACTGTCAAATTCTCTACAAGATTTGATCAAACTTATTTCTATAGAAAGTTAAGAAGAAAAATTAAACAAAGAATACTCAACATAATGAAACGGACCAACATTCTAAGTCGAAAAAATGTTTTGTCCAACCACTTTCATTGAGCTGGATGATAAAAAGAAGAGAATATACGCACTTCAACCAGTATTAGACGCACAAATGCAAAATCAATCTTTGAGGCTTACATCGATTTTCTCCTCTTTGAGTCTTTGCAAAATCCACCTATTTGAATGTATAGATTCGAAGGTCCTGAAAAATGCTGTATAACGAAGCCGAAATAGTATCTTTTTTGGCTCGGTCTTTTTTTTAATTTTATGAAAAATGATACCTATGCCAGATTCAACGGCGAAAGTTACCGTAAAGTTTTCTTCATATATTTACCTACCGAACAATAGCAGATTTTGGTCACTTTGAGGTGAATTTTAGGATGTTAAATTTTTTCAGTGCTCACTCAGATTTGAACGAACTGTGAACTGTATAAGGCGAAAGAGCGCACTTCAAAGTACTCAGAAATATCTTCACTTTTGTTTCATTGTCTTTAGAGTTTCTCAAAATATTCTAAAATTTGTAAAATAAAATAACTTAGAAAGTTGGTTTGTTTCATCATGTTGAGTATTCTTTGTTTAATTTTTCTTCTTTTAAAACTTTCTATAAGTTTGATCAAGTCTTGTAGAGAATTTAACGGCACATCTTTTGGAAAAACAATCAGGTCTAATGATTGAAAAGAAAAATATTATAATCAAAATACAAGGAGGACCATTTATTCTGGGCCATCTGATAAACCGAAATTCATTTGATTATAGTAGATCACCTCTTTTTGCAAATTTAATCCCTGGTAATTTTTTCGCTTCTCTTCTTATATCGGGTGGCCCAGATAAAATCGGACACTTTGTCATTAGTTGTTTTTGAGGTACTGCCCAGTAGTCCTAAGACTTTGTTCTAAGCCCAACCGATAGAGAATTGAATTCTCTACACAACCTGCTATTTGAAACTCTGATAGCATTTTTCTCGTTTGAGCACTATTCAAAATATCGGTGAAAAAAACGGGCGATGGGTTGTCAAACTGCGACAAGCAATTGTCGTCTCCTTTTTTGAGATTTTTAACCCATTGTCTGAAGTTCAATGGTTAACTTATCTGCATAGATAAATAGAGAATTTTGTGCTCTATCGGTCTCACTTCTTTACAACTTCATACAATGTTTCTGCTACGTCAACTGGACTTTTAATTACCTCTTAACCGCCTTTTCGATTTTTTCAAATTAAATTAATTTTTTTAATTAATGGTTTCAATTGAGAAACTTTGTTTATATATCAAACGATGATGAATTTAATTCTGTGTAAGATAATAAAACTAAAACCCTGGATTCAGAACGTTTTACTGCTTTTATAGTAAAAAAACTAAAGTCTGTGAAAAATTGGTACAAAAGTTAGGTTTTTTTGGATTTGTCAGTTTTCTGTACAGAGAAATTTTCCTAGAAGACTTAACTAGAAAATTTCAAAAAATATGTGAGAAGATACAGAATTTTCCGGTGAATCTTCTGATTTTTTCGAAATTCTTATGAAATCTGTTTTCGATCAAGGCAAATATTTTTCTATTTTCAGTGTGTCGCAGTTAGGCAACTCAACACTCTTCAATATTATGAATGGTGCTCAAAGGAGAAAAATGTTATCAGAGATTCAAACAGCAGGTTTTGTAGAGAATTCGATTCTCTATGGATTGAACTTAGAATATACTCTTTGAACCACTGGGCAGTGCTGAAAAACAACGAAAAGAAAAGTGTCCGATTTTATCTGGGTCACCCGATACTAATAGGGCGAATATACTCACAAAGAATTTGTAGTCTAAAAATTGTTTTAAATTGTAGCGTTGGTGACATTTAATTGCATAAATAGATGTTTTTAGATGTGTATCGTCGGTAAGACTATGTTGTTTTAAAAATACGTTGATTTAATCAAAAAAAATAAAAATATTGTTAATAATAATTCAACTTCGTCTCCTTGAAGCGATGAATAAAACAAAAAACAAAAATTAAATAAACTAAACTCGATTACACCTCGTTTGACATCACGAGAAGAAGAAAAATGCGATTAGCGGTACATTTTCACTATATCTATTGTATTTAGTTTATTTACTCACACCATTTAAATAAACACAATTTTTTCAACATTTTTTTTTTTGTTATGAAAAAAAAAGAGAAGAAGACGAAATGAAACGTTTGGTTAATGATGCGTTGAATATTCTTTTTAATGAGCATTTAAATACCTACTTCGCTATTCACAGCTACTAGTAATTGAACAACAACTTGCCCTTTGAGTATTCAACTAAATATGCACCATATGAAACTGAACAAAAGAGAGAGAGAGAGAGAGAGAGAGAGAGTGTGTGTATCTAGAGCGTTTATTAAAAAAGACTTCTCATTATGCTTATAAACAATGTTTGAATATTTACTTAACTTGGATAGTCATCCAATCCGTTGAATTTTGCCAAATTTGATGTAAAAAAGAGTTTATCTACTAATTGAAATACCTTTCCATCTGATTTTTATGAGATAACATCAGATGATTAGGTGACTAAACAATGTTATCACAGTAATATGACATTCAAAATTTTCATCCTTTTACTGATCAGAAAAACAAAAAGTCTTTAATATTCATAGAAAAAATCTCCTTCAAACATCTCTTCATAACAACAAACGTCTCTAAGTCACTGTTAAAAAGTTATTTTTTGTCAATTTAATTTCTCCCATTAATAATTAAAAAATACGGTTTACATACAAAATTGATAAAGCACTTGAAACAAATAATTCAGTGGTGATAGAATTTTAGATATTAACGGAAACTACATACCAAACTATTTTTGACAATGAGATTCTCAGTTTTATAAAGGTAGTCGCATATTTTGTTCGAAGAGTATGTAACAAACGTCAATGTACGTTATTTATGTCGCAAAAAAATACTTTAATGTTAGAGTAAAAAAAAAAGTGCACAAAAATGGTATTTAATAGTCAATAATACTGCTCGCTATACGTATAAAACAGTACGTAAGAACAAGTATGATATGTACACTTGTTTCTATCCACATACCAAATAGAAATGAGTAAAGACACAGTGTACATGAAAATTACAGATGACACATAGACAATTTTTGAACTTTGAACATATGTATTTCGAGAATCATTGTTTGGATAATAAAGATGTTTTGATCATAAAGATTTGAATTTTTCGACATGTAAATCAATAATCTCTCTAACGTATAAAACTTACAAGGCTATTCGCTAAGTCCTATGGGAAAAATCGATGTCGGTAAATGTAGAGATTAAAAAAAGACCTTCCTTTTCTTTTGGAAAGGGTTCATAAGAATGAAAATTTCTCTGACTTATTTCACGATTGGAAACTTTTCTTTTTTTGTGAGTTTGTAATTAAAAGTCAGGGTCCAGAAAGCCAGACTCCACGCATTCACATTTTATATGTGAGTTTAACGAAGATAATGTAAAAGACATTATTCACTTCATACACACCTTTTTTTCTTATCAAATTATAATATCAACTGCATACAGAGAAGAAGAAAAAAATATTCTGGAATTGTGATTAAATAAACCAATCAAGACATTCTTGATTGATATCGTACACAAATGAGATTGGATAAGAACGAGAGAAAAAAAGCAATATTTCTTCTTTTTTTTTCGTCTTTTTTGAGACGACCTAGATGACAACAACATTTCCCCTGAGTAACATAAAATATATATGTAACCTCTAATATATCATAATCGTTGTTGATTGCATGGTGCATGATATAACATAGAAAAAAAGTGAATAAAAACGTAATTTATGTTGCTTTGAATACAATGCTCATATTCAGTATGAAAAAAAAAAATCACAGAATGAGAAGTAATAATATACAACAAAAAACCAGCACTTTATCCTGTTCTACGCCCAAAAAATAGAAGAAAAATGAATGTATGCGTATATGAAAAAAAAAAAAGTTTTTTTAACTTTATTTCTTCTCCTTTCATACACGAATCAATTTAATGAGTCATCTTTTAGACCGACAGCGAATCATGAGGGTTTGCGCCGATGAGAAAAAGAGAATATATTCTCTCTCTCTCTCCATTTTTTATCCATTAAAAGATCTAATGGCTCATTTTTTTAATGTTCTATGGCATATTCTATATTATACGAAGAGAAAAGAGAAAGAAATATACATTGTGCACTAGATTAACGACTCATAATCTTTGACTATAATCATTAATAACTGAGGATCATTTACCAGAGACCGTTACATACATACACACACGAAGGTTAATTTCTATATGATCGAAAAAAAAGCGATAATTATCGTTTTTTTGTCCTACTTTAGTACACACAAGTGATATGTGTTAATGTGTTTCTCGTTTGTTCGTTCTCGGGCTATAAATAAATAATTGATGTATGCTGCCATGAGCTCTTCTTATGGTTTAATGAACACAAATGCTATTATCAATCCGTCGACTAGTCATCATCATCATAATTATGTCATAGAATCACCATCATCATCATCATCAAATAAATATTCAACAACATCATTATTAGATGTAGGAGTAAACAATAACGATTATGGTAATAACAATGGTGCTACAGCCGCACTATTACCCTCCTATCATACAAATTCACATTTATCTCAGAATGGGACACACATTATTGGCCAAATATCATCATCAACATCAAATGGGAATGGCAATTCTTCTTTAATACAACAACAACAGGACTATTATACATCGTCCTATCGTCCACAATCTTCAAATTATAGTTTTCATGATAATCTATATCGTTCATCACATTATACACCTACATCTCCCAGGTAGATATAAATACAAAAAACCTATACATTAGCTTATTCACAGTACTCAACGCCTCTACGAAGTGTTAGTTTCACTATGATTTACTAAGCAGTACGAATTTAAGAACTAAATAAATACGTTGATCTGCAGAGTGCGAATGTTTTTATCTGACAGTTGATTTTGGGACATTTCTTCAATATTTACTTGTTATACCTAAAGTTTTTGTTCCTTTTCTAGCGCATCGTGTGCTTATACCTGTCATGGATCGTTAAATGGACCTCTCTATTCTGCTCAAATTCCATTATCAAACACCGGTGTTCAACAACAACAACTCTCATCAACTGAGGTCACCTCTTCATCTCAAATTTTGGGATCACTTGATCATTATGGTTTATCATCAGTTAGTCCGTGTCAACAACAGCAACAGTCACCTAGTAGCACAAATAGCCCTGATTTGCAACAACAACATCTTTATACAAATAATCTCGCCTCTCATCATCTTGAACAAACTCAACAACAAGCAGAAAAGAGCAATCAACCACCACCAGTCATTTATCCATGGATGAGAAAAGTTCATATTAATAATCCAGGTAATATATACATGATAGTACACTAATCTCTCTAAAATTTTATTATCGGATAGTAGACAAAAAAAAGTTAGACTAATTGCATGATAAGGTTGTCTATTAAATTTACTAATATTTTGTTTTGTAACAAAGCATTGCAGGCAGATCCAGTGATTCAATATTTTTTGTGGAGCTGCTTGATATCTGCAAGGACGCTTGATAAAACTAAAACTTTCAATGATTAGTTGTAGAGATATAAAATTATCCTGGTACGTTTATTTCCAGTTGAAATCAGTTTTTAATCATTCATATGCTCTATATATATCATCGTTAATGTTAACCTCTGATCTACTCTTGTAAAAATCTAGACTCCAATTCTAAACAAACTTCTTCTCTACAAACGATATCATTCAACTGACAACGATTCATTCAGTGATCTCTATGGAACTTTTTAGCCATACGTTCATGCTAATTTTTCTGCTTATTCCATATGTACATGCTAGAAGTTTTATGAAGGCTAAAAAAATAAGATTCATCCAATATTAAGATTAACATATCACACATATAGACACATTCATCATTCTGTATAGAAAGTACAAAAGGTAAAACAATAGTGTGTATGTGCGGCTTGAGAAAAGAGAAGAAAAGGATGTTATTTCATTGTAAAATAAAAAGAACAAAACAAGAAAAAAGACAGTTTCCTTCGTATTTGAAGTTTTGAAAACGTACCGATCAACATTTATCTTCAATAACAATAAGTTTTCAATTTTGATTTTTTCGTCTTCATAGAATGAAACAGATGCGCCCTGTGTTAACCGTATTTAGAATAAGAAACAGATTTAGAAAAAGAAAGAGAGGGAGAGAGAGAAAGAGAGAAATAATCGCTTGATGATGACAAGTAACAACATATCTTTCTAAACTGAAATTGATTGATTTGTTTATTTATATATACACGTGCATAGTAAAAACAGAAAAAGAGAGAGAGAGATGAATGATTTTAATTGAGATTCATTCTCCAATGTTTGAATTATTTAATGTGGCTATCATGCAATATGATAATGACAATATTTAGAACAATTAAGGAACGAATACATTTGTCTTCTAAAAGAATGATCTTCAATATGAGAGAAGAATATATAATGGAATGAATAAATAATATTGCACTATCATGCGTGACAGTTATCGATTTATTGAAAGATCATGTCCGAGTGCTACTATTGTGCGATACATCGACTGAATTGTCCATATGCTTCATTTTTATTCGTTCAATAATATGACAGAGATTTTCTAGCTTATCGAGTATGAGTACAAGCATCAAAAGTTTCCTTTGAATATCAAAGACATGCGAAATAAAACAAAGTTTCTAGATTTTTCAGTAACAAAGAGCTCTTAAATAATTTTACAAGAGTTTTTTAGAAATCTTTTTTTTTTAATTTGTTTCTGATATATTTCTGGAAGAAAAGAAATTATTTTTTTGGAAATAGTCAGAATGTTAGGCATGAATACTCGAATATGCTTTAAAAAAATCGTAAGTACAAGTAAGTACATTGCAAAGCATGTACTCTTATTTACTCATCTGTGTAAGGTGAGTTTTGAACTGTAGATTAACTAAAAACAAAATAATTAACAGTTTCTCCATATTTGACAGCTTTAAGAAAGCGTAGTTTTTGTTTTCGTATTACCCTTTCTGAAGAAGAAGATTATTGCAAAAACTACATCACAATGCTGAGAAAAGTGCCCTCTTTAAAAATAAGACGTGGATCACTTCGCGCGTATGACATTTATTCGTAATGTTAAGATAATTTACGGTATCTTTCCAAAAACGCCGTTACTAGCTAAGATTAGTAGATCTTTTTTGATCAGCAGTACAAGATATTGCAAAGAATTCTTTCCTAGATTAAATTGTACAACAACAATTTATTTTTGATTGGAAAGTGGAAAGAAAACTTCATCAAATGTTGAAAAAATCGATTTTAAATTACACTCTAGTTTTCTCAAAAGTTCGAGTTTCTGAAAGTCTTTCGAAAACTGTCCAGTTTTCAACTTTTAAAAGCAATAGGAAAATAAAAATAGGTAAAAAATAATAATTTATTTTCTACATTCAATGAGACTGATGTTTTTACTTTGACTTAAGACTAACGTAACATTTCTAATTCATGATCTAAAAAAATTATTTTTAAAAAGTACTGATTAATATGTTTTAATGCTTATTCTAGTATCAATTATTATCGACAAGCATTATTTTTTGAAAGTTATCGTGAACTCTCAAAAATAATGTTTGTAGATTGAGAGATAATTTTCTACCTTACATCCTTTTGTTATATATATGCCATTTTTATAGATTTTCTGATTTTCATTCGTGCGTGTTTTGTTGAGATTAAATATATATATGTCTATTAAAATACCATAAAACTTGTATGTTTTAACTTCTCACATCGTCTATATTTAAAAGTCATTCGCTTTGATATGTATATTTATGCTATCTTGTCACCAAACAATGTAATCATAATCATAATAAGTTCACTTGCTCTTGATTATAACAAACAAAACAAAAAACAAGTAAAATATATTTTTAACGATTAGTAAATATCATCACCGAGAGTGAATAAATGTCATTTTATCGAAAAAACAAACTCAAAGTGTCGAGTTACTGAAAATTTAACCTTTAACGAACAGATATGAGAAAAAAAAATAGAATGAAAGAAACGTGGTGAAATCAGCAGGATGATGCTATCTGAGATTTATAAAATCATCAAACGAAAGAATGAGATTAATGATGATTTAACTATTGATACGATGTGTATAGTGTGATCATACTTTCTGGTAGATATGTTTCATCAAGAAAATGTATATTTGAGATACGTAGTATAGTTGATTTGAACAAGTTCTGTATGTGGGAACGTTTTAGGAATTAAAAGAACTCTAAATCTCTTACTAAATTCTGATTCTCTGAAAGTATTGCAATTATTCTGACTGAAAGAGAAGGGACTTTACTGTATATTTCAGCTATGATATAGGTGATATTTCTTTTCTTGAAATCGAAAAACAATCATTGGTACTTAGTTTTCATAGAATTTTACCAAAAGAGCTCAGTCATGTTCGAGTTTCTTATATTTTTGTTCGAAAAGATCATCTGAGATACAATGGCAATTTTGTGTAGAACAAAAGCGGGTATAACCGATATAAATTATCAGAGCGCAATATACTTTTTTTACATTGTAAAACAATTTATGATATAAGTGAGAATTTTTGAGAAACTACAAGATTCTTCGTTTTTCTTTTCAAAACTACTGTGTACGTATCTCAAATTCAAGTGTTTAGGTTCAATTGTAGTCTAACCTTTATTTGTCATTTTAAGTAAAAAATAACCAGATTGTATTAATCCTGTTGCAAGTTCGTTCGTCTGTTGTTATCCGTCATTTACTTTATTTTTTTTTTACATATTAGAAGAGGAGAAAAAAAAAGGTGACTCTAACCAATCGCATGTGTTATGTATACGTGCACAGCATACATTTATGTGAGAGAAAGCGACACATATAAATCTTTAGTGTGTTCGACATTAATTGTGTGTACATGTATCTACATAGGATGATAAGCACAAATTCAATGTGGTGTGACGCATTAATCATTGAAAAGAAAATATGCTGATACGACTTCATCATTATTCATGCAAAACACATAACAAGAACTTTTTACTCTAAAATTACGTTGATTTTCTGAAAAAGCTCCACACCGATTTGTTTAGAATCTACCTTGTACAAGTTTCTTTTCTGAGATATTAACGATACGATCTAATTGATATATTCAAAACGTTTGATGATTTGTTTCAAATATTTTGCTAAATTGTATGATTAGATTTTCTTTCTCTCGTTAGAAAATAAAAGCAGATATTTTTATTCCCAAAATAGGACAGTACGCTTAAACTATTCTGTAATCATCTGAAATACAAAAAACATGCACAATTCGAAGATAGATGAAATCAGCATTAAAAATCAGTTCTGTTTTGCTTAAAGGTGTGTCAAAAAAGAAATGTGAGCTGAGGGTAGAGAATGAACCAAAGATATTTAAGTCGTAGTCTGGTCAATATGATGTCACTGTTTTTATGAAAACAACTTCTTCTTTTTTCTAAGCAGAGTTTGAAGATTTATTTTTGTTACACTAGACCGTGAGCGATATGAAATCTTTTATCTTGTGATTATTGAAAAAAGAAAGAAATTAATTTACGATCTCATTTTAATTGAGTTGTGTGTTTTATTGTATGTTATCTGACGCATGATATAACTATTTGAAAAAACATTAAAACGAGCTGTGACATATACATTACTGAAGAGATTAGTTGTTCCTTTTAAAAAGCGACATATTTTGCTAATTTGAGAAATCTTTTTCTTAGATTCTATGATTTTTCGTCGTGACAATGACTAGAGAGTTTTTGGAAGAAAATGTCAGTGCAGTACTGTTAAAGTAATAGTTAGACAGTGGGTCTTTCATAATAATTTAAGTCTTACATTTACATTGATGGCAAATTATACTCCTGAATAAATCATTGTTTGCAATAGACTCGATAGTCACAATAAAAATTATATTTTACTTTTGTTTGTAATAAAACATTGACATTTATATTTATATAGTCTCGTCCATTCTCTCATAATACACCGAGATGGTGAACAGCATGCAATAAAATCTCAACTCATTTTTATCTCTCAATATCATCCAAAAATTTAAAAATATATATTTTTTTTGTTCTGTTTTAGTCACTAATTTTACAAATGGTGAAACAAAACGTGCTCGTACCGCTTACACTCGACATCAAGTTTTGGAACTAGAAAAAGAATTTCATTTTAGTAAATATTTGACACGTCGTCGACGAATTGAAATTGCACATTCACTTTGTTTAACAGAACGACAAATTAAAATTTGGTTTCAAAATCGACGTATGAAATGGAAAAAAGATCATAAACTTCCAAATACAAAATCGAAATTACCCGATACAGTACCAAATACTACGCTATCAACACCAACATCTTCGACATCATCTCAAATGAATAATGAAGAATTAGATAGTCCAGATATAATTAAAAAAGAACATAATATAATTAAAGAAGAATCATTTTCACCAAGATCTACCTGAGCAAACAAATTATTATTATTTTTCTATACAATGTGTTTTATTAAATATGAAGAAATGGAACCTGACAAAACGTTTTCTTCTTAATTTATTAGAAAATTTCTCCTTGTACATTGTTTTGAAGAAATAATGGACGACTACAATAGCAATAAAATCTATAAAAATGATCTAACAATATTAGACACGCTCAGCTTAAGGTATCAAGCTGACTTACAATTTGTAAAACAAAAATGAATTCTTTTTTTTTTTTTTAACAATTTATATCATAGATTGTAGATAACTTCATAATTTCAATTATTAATGGTACTTCAATTGTAGAACAGCGTTCTTGATCTATTACTGAGAGTATGCACTTCATTTTTTCTTCCATTTGTTAACATCCATTTTTCTCTTGTTTACATGGAATAACTTGACTTCTAACTAAGAATTTTGACTGCGCGTACGATTTTGTGTATATTAACTTTATTGTATATTATTGCTGAAATAGAGACTATTATATAGTTTTCTATAGTTTTTGGAGTCTTTTTTTTGTATGTGTATGCATATCTGTTCGCTTATTATTTTCTCTTTTTTCTTTCTACTTTTGTTGTGAAAAATGACATTAATAGAAAATATATTATTTTTTTATTTTTTAAAATGCTGTTGTTGTTGTTTTTTCTTCTTCTGTTCATTTGGCAAACGAAAGATGTATATTAACTTTCTTTGTTCTGTATGTGTGTATGTGTGTGTGTCTGTTCTTGTATATGTGTGCGTGCGTGCGTGCGTGACATAATATTATTAATGACAAATAATAACTGCTACTATATATATTTTTTATGATACGTGAATTTCTTTGCAGAAAATATCTAGAATCCAAAAACGTCATTAACACAATATAACCGAAACTTTTCAAGCGTAAAATACGAAGCAAAATAACATATATCGATTGTATATTACAGATGTTGGTAACAGAGTAATATAAATGGAAAAAAAGAACTATTGATTCGTTATTCAGTTCGAGGAAGAATTTTGAGTGTCATCGACTGGAATTTTTTTACCAAGGTTGCATATTTTCAAAAAATAATTTGTAAAAGAAACTATTTTTCGACTTGAAAAATTGTTTTTCGATAAATTCTGTATGTATAACTCCATTCTTCAAAATCTATTTTGTGCTAAATGATTCAGAATTACAAATTCATCGTTCACGAACATCTTATTTTGGAGAAGAAAATAGAAGAGTCTAAAATTATTAGAAATGGTCACTAAAATTCTCCAGAGCAATATTTTTGAATTATTTTATTGGAAAATGACTAGTGTATAACATATCAGTGAACGATTACCGTGAACAAACAACATTTGTTTATAAGAGAATTTCATATTTAAAGAGAATCGCTTTTGAGAAGATGCAATTTATATATATATATATATATATATATATTGGATAATTTTGACAAATTATGGGCTTATTTCATATCTGATAAAATGAATGCTCTTTCTAAACCTATTAAACAGTTTTAAATAATTACAGATACAAATAACTATAACTTAAGTAGTATATAGCCTTTTTGTTTACAAGAACCAAAAAATACTTTTACTATAGTCTAGTTTATACTCTCTACTCAGTTTTGTTGTCGAATTTTTGTGATTGTATCTGACCATGGTACTAAGAGATGTAGAAGAAGAAAAAAAACCTCATGTAAAAAGTGTTATATTAGTATTTTTTCTAATTCTAACATATGTTCATCATACATAAATATAATAAAAAGAAAAAAACCAACTCTTGTTCTTTCTATTATTTGTATATATAGAGACTATACATTTGTTCGAGTTATGATTAGAATTCTCGACATTTTCATTTTCCTATTTAGATAAATGATACGGGAAACTGTCGAAAAAACAGTCATTAACGTGAAATAAATGACCATAGAACTATTGAACTGTGTATTATGTCGATCTAGTGTGAACAAAATTTGTTTCTTTTTTCTTCATATTATTAATGCTTTTTTTTTTTCTCTTTTTA